AAAAGTTACAGTTGTAAAGATTTATTTGTTAGTAAATTGAGTTTGGAGTAGGTCATTTTGGGTTGGGTTAAAATAAATATATTTGTGTGTTTTATTCTTATTTTGGGCTTACTCTATTATTTGTGTGTCGATGCCACATGTACGTGTTAATTTTCTAACAAGTGGTATTAGAGTAAAGTACAGTGTTTAATATTTTTTTATTTGATGAAAAAAGTAATTTTATGTTATAGCTAAGTATAATTCAAGATCTGTTAGTACAACAAAGGTTGGATCAAGCATTAGAAAGTAGTAGGCCTAAGGGAATGTCTGATAGTAATTGAAATAGAATTCAAAAGAAAGTTATCAGTATAATCAGATTAGCGTTAGCTCTAGAAGTAAAGTACAGTGTATTGATTGAAAGTATTCTAAAAAGTTTGAAGATAAGCTTGAAGATATTTATACGTCAAAGTCATTAACTAATAGATTATATTTGATTATGGATTTGTATTCTCTAAAGATGAAAGAAGGTGCAAGTCTTCATAATCATCTGGATGAGTTTAATAGGTTAGTTTCTCAATTGGTGACGATTTCCATTGATGAGTTAGAAAATAAAGAGAATGCTTTAATTCTATTATCATCTTTACCCAAATCTTATAGACTTTTAGTTCAAACTTTGTTCGTAAGTCTATTTTAAAGTTAGGTGATGTAATTATCCTATTGCATGAGAACGAAAAGGTTTATAAGAACATAGAACTCATCATCTAGAGGGAGTGCATTAACTATAGAGAGTTCTGATTGAGGGAGGACTCAAAAAATGGTTGATGGATCAAGAGGGAGATCCAAGTCAAGAGACAAAGATTACAATGATATAGAATTTATTATTGTGATGAAAAAGAACATATTCAAATACGTTGTAAGAAGCTAAGAAGGGATATAATTACTTTTAAAAAGGCAAATGATAAGAAAAAATCAAATAAAAGAAAAGTGATATTGTTGTTGTTGTGTCCAATTATGATAAGGTCATTTTGACAACCTGTACGGATAAGAGTTAGATTTTAAAAAGCGATAAAGGTTGAGTTTTAAATTTAGCTATTATAGTTCATGTCTACAATGATAGAAGTTATTTTATGGAATTAAAAGAGCAAGAGAAGTATGGGGATGTTATGGCCGTCTACAATAAAAAGGTGTAAAATTCAAGACATTTGAAGTTTTCGCCTTAAATCTCATAATGGTGTTGTCAAGACACTTCGTCAGGTAAGGTATGTACCGAGTTGTAATTATAATTTGATTGCTTTTGATGAGTAAACTTCTCATAAGTATACATATTATAGACAAAATAATTGTTGCAAAGCGTTCAAAAATGGTAATGTAATTTTACAAGGGAATAAGGTCAAAAATCATTTGTACATCTTAATAGAGGCTTAGTTGATGGGATTCCTACAATGAAGGAAAAGAATAAAGGCATGCATGCCAGCTTTGTAGATACTATTAAAGTGTTTTGAGATTCAAGTCAATGAAAGATTTGTTGGGGTTTGACTTAAATCTATGAATCTCACCGAGTAAAGTTATAAGAGTTAAAATATGTTTTGTATCGCATATTGACAGTTTAATAAAAGTATAAAGGGTTTCACCTATATAAATAAGATGTTTTAGTTTTAGTTTTAGTTTAGCAATCTCAAATAATCAGACACTAAAAAAATGAGTAGGTTATTAAAAATGTGTAATTGAGTTTTTGATTAAGTTTTGAATAATGAGTTTTTTGGTGATTTTTTTCATTTCAAAAATTTGTAAAAGTTTTATTTGTTAGTAGATTGAGTTTGGAGTATGTCATTTTTAGATAGATTAAAATAAATATATTTATATATTATTATTCTTGTTTTAGGATTACTTTATTATTTGTGCACGTGGGAGCTGCGCGTGCATTGATTTCCTAACAGTTATAACTATTCCTCGCATGGTATTATTAAATTTATAGAGAAGGATATGTTAAGCATAACAAAGTTTAGGACCTCTAGGTTGTAAATAGTTTAGCAACTCCTTTGCACAATATATATATATATATATATATAAATCCTATCTTAATTGGTTTTATGTAATATAAATAGTGAGTGCCCTCATTTCATATCAACAATATATCTACTTTGACTTTTTAGGACGTATGTTTTGTTTTTCGTCTGATATCAGCCTTGTGCTTCACCTTTTGATCCTGCACTTGCTAAATTTTCTTTTTATCTTAGCATCATTGATAATCATGTGGATTCATGCAGATTATAAACAAAATGGCAGTATGCATTTTAACTAGAATAATTAATATTTATGCTTACAGCTTTGTTCGCCATTACAAAAAAAGCGAAAGCTGTTGGGGATTGAAATTTTGGTATGGTTTATAAATCAAACTGATGAAAATTTTTATTCTCGGTAGCCAACTAATTAACCAAACCAAACTAATTAGTGCTTTAGTTAGTTGATTTGGTTTTGTAGATTTTAATCAAATAATGACAACTCTATTTACGAGGGATAATTTTCCAAGGTTCGAATATCATTATCTAATATAAGTAATAGATACAAAATTATATAATAACATGTTAAAAATATGAAAAATAATAATGTATTCATCAATTTATCTATAGAAAATAATAATATAACATCTTTATATATATATATATAAAAAAGAAATAATAATGTAACAACATAATGCATCCATCATTTCGACCTTCTCATTGTATAAGATGAATAATACTAATCTATATGCTATTAAAAAAGTTTATTTATTTAATTTATAAACCACATTGTTTATTTATTTAATTTATAAACCAAAACATTAATTATAATATTCTTCAAGCACTTCTGTTTTTGGGAGACAACAAAAGCTACCCATGGTATACAAGAATTAATAACCATTATACTATGGAAACATAAATAATCAAGGGCTTATAATAAAGTATACTTTTCACATCATCCACTAAAAATAAAATTTTTTTTTCAGAATCTTACGTTAAGGGGGAGAAGGGAGAAACTTAGGGTTTTAATGTCTTCTTAAAATTATTTTGATCATTAAATCAAATAATTAAAGATAAAAAAAATAACTTTTTATTTACATATTTACCAACCAAACAATATTTAGAGTAACGTATTCTCGAGAATAAATTTTTAAAAAATTTGTATAATATATTTTTTCATCACTGCCGGCCTACAGCAACTGCATGAATTCATTTACCAAAAAGATATAAAAACATTTTCAAGAATTATTTTATAAGACAAGTTGCAGAAAATATAAATATATTTTCCCGTCACTGTCGGCTTCCAACTAAATGAATCATAAATAAAATAAGCGTTAAAAAATATGACAGTTTTATTATTTAAAATTGAAAGTAATAATATATGTTTTTAATTTTTATTTTAAAAGGATTAGTGTTCTTGTCACGGATTTAATAAAGAATCATGAATCTCATATCGAATATAATAAGAAAGTTATTAAGATATAAAAAAGTTTACACAATCTTTTTCTTATGAGATATCTTTTGTAAGATAAAATCGTAAGATCAAATGGATCAGAGTGGATAATACCTCACAAGGGTATGAGCCGTGATAGGTAGATTGATCTAAGACGTCAGAAGAGTGCATGTCTAGGTCTTGGAGCCGCACATGTCAGAGTTTAAGTTTCAACCCGTGACAAGTGATATCAGAGCCAGTGGGGGAGAATATCATGGATCTAAATAAAAGTATTAAATCTTACATCAAACATAATAAGAGGGTTACTAGAGTATAAAAAAGTTCACATCATCTATTTTTTATGAGGTACTTTTTGTAAGATAAAATCGTAAGGTTTGAGGGATCAGAGTGGACAATACCTTACAAGAGTGTGAACCCTAACAGTTAGGCTAATTCGAGATGTTGAAAGAATGCATGCTCAGATCTCCAAACTGCGTGGATCAAAGCTTAAGTCTCGACCTGTGATACTCGTACATAGAGAAGGGACATGGCGGGAATTAAACTCTCGCCTAGGTGACTTTCTCACTGCCTCTGAACCACTTGGGTTAAGAACCGCACAGGTCAGAGCTTAAGTCTCGATTCGTAACAAGTGATATTAAAATCCATAAAAAAAATATCATAAATCTAAAGAAGAATCTTAAATATCACATCAAACATAATAAAATAATTACCAAAATATAAAATAATTTACATATTTTTTTATTATAAAATATTTTTTATAAGATAAAATCGTAAAATTAAAGAGACCGTACATGTTCGAATCTCAAAATTATATGGATCAAAATATTTTGACCCGTAATACTCACACACATGGAGAAGGGATATGGCGGGAATTGAACCCTCGCCTAATTGATTTTCTCACTGCCTTTGAACCACTTGGGCTAAGAGCGGCAAGTCAAGTAATAATAAATGTTTCAATTTTTACGGTTCTTATCTTTTTTTTAACACAATATTTTAAATATATATTTCCCATCATTGTTGCCGTCCTCTCAACAACCATTTGTCGTATATAAAATTTTAAGACCAAAAAATATATATTCCTCTAGCAAGTCTCGGGGTAGTTAAACGTCGATTTTCAAACATTATGGGACAAATTTAGTTTAGGTTTAATCAATGGGTTCTTTTTGTACTTCATGGTTTTTTTCAAACAAGTTGAAAAAATAATACTAATATATTTTCCATCAATTGCCGGCCTCTCAACAACCATTTGATATGTATAAAATTTGAAGACAATATATATATATATATATATATTACGTTGGCCTATTTTTTAAATATTTTTATATGTTTTAAAACTATATTTTTTCTTTTTAACACTTATTACTTAAAAATACTTTATTTTTATATATTTAAATTTTATATTATATTTTTTAACTTTATACTACAAAAAATAATGAAATATCAAATTTATAAAAAAATTTAAAATCTTAATGTATTTGATAATCAAAGATCATAAGCAAATAGTAATAATCAATATCATAATAAAAGTCGCCTCCTACAGTCGCATGGGATCCAACTCAGCATTCAGTAATTGAGTTTAAACAATAAGAGGAAATATTCAACAAGCTGTTCATTTTATTAAGCCTCCACAAAGCAACACATCGCTCTTTTTTCTCTATTTCTATTTTCCTTTGTTGATCTCTCTCTTCTACGGCTTAATTTCTTGTATTTCCCTTGCTGGATTGAAGAAAGAACCATGCCTGTCATTCGAGAGGCTGCTCTTTCTGCGTTTTTTCAGCTGTTGTTTGACAAGTTGGTCGATACTGCACTCAACTTTGTTACAGATCACAAGCAAGTTAGCAAGCAGCTCAAGGAGTGGGAATCAAAGTTGCCAGATATCCTAGCAGTGCTGAATGATGCAGAGCATAAGCAGATCAAGGATGAGCTCGTGAAGAAGTGGTTGGCGGATCTCCAAGACTTGGCTTACGATGCGGGTGACATCTTGGACGAGTTTGCTTATGAAGCTTTACGTCTCAAGCTCCAACAAAAAACTCAAGCTCAAGCCAGCAGGAGTAAGAAACGGAAATTCTCTGCAACTTCTTTTACATTTTGTAATGAGATGATTCCCAAGATAAAAGAGATTAACTCTAGACTGGATGGTTTGGAAAATCGAAGAAGTATATTGGGCTTGACAAAGACTTCTGAAGGTGCAAGCTCCACGAGGATGAAAACAAGGCTGCAACCCACTTCTGTGATGGATGAAACTGTTGCTTATGTTGGTAGAGACGATGAGAAGCGAGAAATACTCGAATTGCTCAAAAGTAATAACGGCCCTGAAGATGGAGTTTCTGTCATTTCCATTGTTGGCTTTGGAGGGATGGGTAAGACAACTCTTGCTCAGCTTGTTTACAATGATGCCAGCATACAACATTCGTTTGATCACAAGGCCTGGGTATGCGTCTCTGATGACTTTGATGCCATGAAGATAACAAAGTCAATTTTAAAATTCATCACTCCTTCCGAGGCATGTGATGACAATGACTTTGGTTTGCTTCAAGTCAGGATAAAGGAGAAGTTATCTGGAAAAAAATTCTTGCTTGTTTTAGATGACATTTGGGATATGAGTTACAATGAGTGGACCATCTTACGGTCTCCATTTGGGGTAGGAACAAAAATTATTGTGACAACTCGCTTTCAAAGTGTTTCATCTAATATGGTTACTGTGAAAGCTTTCCACTTGGATAAATTATCACATGTTCATTGTTTATCTATATTTACTCAACATGCATTAGGAGCAAGGGATTTCAATGGACATCTCGAATTTAAAGATGTTGGCGATAACATAGTGAAGAGGTGCGGCGGCTTACCTTTGGCAGCAAAAGTCATCGGAGGCCTATTACGCACAACTAGAGATTGGGGTGCATGGGAAAAAATATATGAGAGCGAGATATGGGAATTCCCGGAAGATCGATGTGGAATAGTTCCAGCTCTGCGATTGAGCTATTGTCATCTTCCTCCGCATTTGAAACAATGCTTTGCATACTGCTCTATACTTCCTAAAGATTATGAATTTGAAGAAGAAGAAATAATCTTGTTATGGAGAGCAGAAGGCTTACTACAACAGAAAGCTGGCAGTCAATGTGGAGATTTCGGTAGCCGATGCTTTCGAGATTTAGTGTCAAGGTCATTTTTTCAAATGTCTAATAAAGGCAAGTCTTTGTTCGTAATGCATGACCTTATCAACGATTTAGCTCAATTTGTTGCTGGAAAGATATGCTCCAATTTTGAAGGCAATAAACAACGGGAAATTTCATGTCGCACTCGACATTTATCTTATGTTCAAAGTCCGTATGATGGAGTGAAGAAGTTTGAAGCATTTTATCAAGTGGAGCATTTGCGAACCCTTCTACCATTCAGGTTGCAACCGCAATTTCCTTTTTCTTATTTGACCGATGATGCCCTTCATAAGTTGTTGCCTAGACTTTCATGCTTAAGGGTGCTTTCTTTTAAGGGGTATGTCATCACTGAGTTTCCTGACATTTTTGAAAATTTAAAACATCTACGTTACTTAGATTTTTCTGGCACTCAAATAAAATGTTTACCTGATTCTCTATTTACCCTTTATCATTTGGAAACTTTGAAATTGAAATGGTGCGACAAACTTGAGAAATTGCCTCTGGAGATAGAAAATTTGGTCAACTTGCATTATCTTGACATCAGGGGTGCACGTTTAATAAAAAGGATGCCTTCAGGAATTGGTAAACTAACCAATCTTGAAAGGTTATCTGATTTTGTTTTAGGCGGAGGTGATGGTCATCTTATAAAAGAGGTCGAAAATTTGTCAAATCTCAGGGGTGAATTTTGTCTTTCAGGATTGGAGAATGTTGTTAAAGGTCAAGATGCTTTGGAAGCTAAGTTAAGGGAAAAGTCAGAGATTGATAAGTTGGAATTAAAATGGAGTGGAGACTTTGGTAATAACATAAGGAATAAGGAAGTGGAAGAAGAGGTGTTGAACTTTCTTTGTCCTCATAAAAGGAAGCTTGAGGAGCTCAGCATTGAGAATTTTGGAGGTGCAAAATTCTCAGTTTGGATAGCAGATTCTTCCTTTGTAAATATGTTGTCTTTGAAGCTCATCAATTGTAAAAATTGCAAATCACTACCATCAATTGGAAAGTTGCCGAGGTTGAAAATTCTTTACATTAGGGCAATGGATGAGGTAAAAAAAATTGGTGTTGAGTTCTTTGGAGAAAATCAACCGAATGCATTTGCTTCATTGGAGGATCTGTGTTTTGAGGATATGCTAAACTGGAAGAATTGGGACTCTTGTGAATGTGATGATCAAGTTTCGAAATTCCCCAAGCTTCGTCAGCTTTCAATCCTACGGTGTCCTCAATTGTTGGGAAGACTGCCTAACTGTCTTCATTCTTTGCAGAGACTTGTAATTCGTGAGTGTCAGCAGTTGGTAGTTTCGATTTCAAGTCTTCCATCGCTATGTGAATTAGAAATACATGGGTGTGAAGAATTGATGCATAGCAATTGTGTGGACGTTACCTCATTGAAAAGAGTCTCTCTTTCAGGCATTTCAAAGTATGGTATTCCACCGGAGAGGATAGTGTCCACATTGACTAAATTGGAACTTTTTAGCGTTGCTGGTTGTAAGGAGTTGGCACCTTTATCTCAAAATGGGTTAGGATTCCTTGGGCATCTAAGCTCCCTTCGCGAGATTGAAATTTCTGACTGCCCCCAACTGGTGTCCTTAGAGACAGAGGAGGTGAACGAAGAGAAATTGCAACTTGAGAAGATTTCCAGTATTGAATCTCTGACAATAAAAGACTGTGAAAGGCTTAATAGACTACCAAAAGCCTTGCATAGTCTCACATTTCTTGCAGAGATTCAAATTAGAAAGTGCCCAAGCTTGGTTTCTTTTGCAAAGAATAACTTGCCGCCTGCTTTAAAAAGGCTGTTGATTTGGGAGTGCGATAATTTGCAATATTTGGTGGATGAAAGAGAAAATAAGAGTACGAGTAACGAATGTCTTCTTGAGCGCTTGGAAATTAGAGGCTGTAAGTCTCTAATATGTTTATCATCAAGGAGTGATTTTCTCATTCGGCTTGGAGATCTCAGGATTGATTCTTGCCAAAAGCTGACTTCCTTATTTTTTGACGCCGCGTTACCTGTAACGCTTAAACTGCTACAAATTGATTCTTGTCCAAAGTTGGAATGCATAGCCCAAGAATTTCATCAAACCACTTGTCTTGAATCTATTCTGATCCTTGGCTGTATAAGCATTAAATCTTTACCGCGAGGATTAGACAAGCTCAGCCATCTTCATCAGATTCACATTAGCTGCTGTCCAAATCTGGTTTCTTTGGAAGAAAGTGGGTCGGCCGCCGCCAACATTAGAATCTTCTCAGTCGAGCGTTGTGAAAATTTTGGAGCCCTTCCCAGTTGCATGAAAAACCTCACATCCCTTCAGGAGATTCGTATTGGCTCGTGTTCGGCTGACATATCCTTTCCGGCAGAGGGTTCCCTTCCAACCTCACATACCTAGAAATCTCCAAAGCACCCAAAATTTGTAGGTCACTTTTTGAATGGGGATTGCATAGACTAACCTCTCTCCGAAAACTTCTCATCGGGGGTGAAGGATGCTCAGATGTAGAGTCGTTTCCAGAAGAGGAGACCGAATGATGCTGCCTCCTTCTCTATCCCATATCTCCATAGGAAATTTCGAAAATCTGAAATACATGTTCTCCAATGGCTTTCGAAACCTCACCTCGCTTCGATCTTTGAACATCTCTCATTGTTCTAAGCTCACAGCTCTTCCCGATAAAGACATGCTTCTCTCCCTTGAGGTACTATGCATTGATGATTGTCCATTGCTTAAAGAAGAGTGCAAAAGGGGTAAAGGACGAGAGTGGTCCAAGATTGCCCACATACCTTTTGTTCAAATTGATAGCGATCCGATCATCCCGAAAATTCAATTTCGGCCCTGATTTCCCCACTCTCAAACCACGGGTCTGAAACCACTTTTAATATTGATCAATTTTCATCGTCATCTATCTGTTTTTCGATGCCAACAAGATAATAATTGCAGTCAGTATAATTTTTATTATTATTTTTGCAGGAATTGAAAGCTAAATTGGTGACAAAATGGGATTTTAAAAGATACTTTCAAGGAAAATGGTGGAGCCATGGAACTCTGCTTTAGTATATTTGATTGATAGAGTGTTTAGTTAATTCTCTACTACTATTACTTCTATAAATTTGTTTGACACACTGGAAAGGGGTCTTCACAGATAACCTTCATTAGACATTCATTCACTGTGATGGATGTTAGGATGCAATCTTTTGCCACATATGAGATAGGAGTAATGTTTCTTACCTCTTATACCTCTCCTCTCTTCAGGGATTTGCCTAATATCAAAAACCAATGTTCAAGAGCTTTGAGAACTTCACTGAATGTTTGAGCATCCTCTCTGGAAAGGACTTGCTTTCTCTTCTCTCCTACTATGTATTTATGATGGCTTTTCTCCATAAAAGTTAACAGCATAGAAGGGATAAAGGATGGATTGGTTGAAGATAGCCTTCTGCTTTATGCTTGTACTAGTAACAATTTATTTGTTATATGGGAGGAAAATGGAATCTGTTTGATCTCACGAGGACAAAACTGGGAGAAAACTAGTGAATACACCCTATTCAATAAGAGTTTCAGCCATAGGTACGTCAATCTTTTTTTCTATCTTTTTTTATTCATTTTCAATGATTGATCAAATTTTGATGAGGACAAGGTGTTCATTTAGTTTACATGCAGAATTCTCAACAAGAATATGGAGCCAAAAGGATTAAATTCATAAACATATTAATAAACATGATGGTCGCACTATGTTCTTTTTTATTAACTTCTTAGAAATAAGATTGCCAAATTTATGACATTGCATATGGCATTTTAGTTAAAATGTTTTTGACATTTCATTGTTACTATTGAAGGATTTTTGGATATGCGGTCATCTCCAGAATCTGTAATAGATATCCTCCAAGGGTTTCAAAATGTCACCCCTCTTCATTATTTGTACATTTTTGGGCACACATCTCTTCTAAAAAGGACATGCCTCTCTCACTTGGGCAACTATCTTTGCTAAATAAATAACGATAGAGAGATAAAGTATGAGAATGGTCCAATTTAGCCACATACCATGTGTTGTAATTTTTGGTGGATCCATCATCACAATTCTCAGGGCAGCCCTGATTTTCTCATGCTCATACCAAAGGTATGAAATCGTTTAAAAGATAGGAAAAATAATTAAATATAAATATTTGGTTTATTTGATTCTTGTTAGATAGAATATAGTAGTAATGACAATGTGATATGTTGCTCATTTTTACAGCCAATTTGAAGCTTCAAAGCTAAATCATGACAAAGGGTGCTCTATCACTCTATTTGAAGGTCCAGCAGTACTTGAATGGCTTCATCTTTCCTTTTTCTGCCACACTGATGTTTTAACTAGAAACATCAAAGTCCGAAGTTTAACCATTCAAAGAAAAATGCCTGTATAACTACTGACGTGGTGTTTACAGGCATTTTAAACTCTGCAGTCTCCATTAGTGGTGAAGGATGCTAAGATGTGGTGTTGTTGCAAGAAGAAGAGATAGGAATGATGCTGCCTCCCTCTTTAACCCATATCTCCATAGGAAATATCGAAAATCTGAAATACATTTCGGCAAGGGCTTTCAAAACCTCACCTTTCTTCAATATTTGTACATCTCTGATTGTTCTAAGCTCACAGTTCTTCCAGATAAAGACATGCTTTTCTCGCTTGAGGAACTACAAATTCAGGATTGTCCATTGCTAAAAGAAGAGTGCAAAAGGGGTAAAGGATGAGAGTGGTCCAAGATTGCCCACATATCTTTTGTTATAATTGATTGAGATAGGATCATCCCGAAGGAATTAAATGGAAATTCCGCCCTGATTTGCCTACTCTCAAACCACAGGTGTGAAGCCACTTTAAATATTGATCAATTTTCATTGTCATCTATGTGTTTTTCCTTGGCAACAAGATAATAATTGCAATCAGTGTAATATTTTTATTATTTTTGCAGGCGTTGAGAGCTAAATTGGTGACAATATGGGATTTTATTAGATCCTTTCAAGGAAAATGGTGGAGCCATATCGAACTCTGCTTTAGCTTAATGATTGATTGAGTGGTTAGTTTATTCTCTATTACAATTACTTCTGTACATTTGTTTGGTATACACGAAAGGGGTCTTCACTGACTAACCTTCATTAGACATTCATTCACTGTGATAGATGTTAGGATGTAATCTTTTGCCACATATGAGATAGAAGTAATGTTTCTTACCTCTTATATCTCTCCTGTCTCCAGGGATTTGCCTAATATCTAAAACCAATGTTCAAGAGCTTTTTGAACTTCACTGAATGTTTAAGCATCCTTTCTGGAAAGGACTTACTTTCTCTCTTGTCCAACTATTTATTTATGATGGCTTTTCTCCATAAAAGTTAACAGCGTTGAAGGGATTAAGGATGGATTGGTTGAAGATAGCCTTCTGCTTTATGCTTGTACTAGTAACAGCTTATTTGGTATCTGGGAGGAAAAATGGAATCTGTTTGATCTCACAAGGACAAAACTGGGAGAAAACTAGTGAATATACCCTATTCAATCAGAGTTTGAACGATAGGTACATCAATTTTTTTTCCTATCTTTTTTTTTTTTTTCATTTTCAATGATTGATCAAAATTTTGATGAGCATAAGGTGTTCATTTAGTTTTATATGCAGAATTCTCAACAAGAATATGAATTCAAAAGGATTAAATTCATTAACATATTAATCAACATGATGATCACAATATGTTCTTTTTTATTGACTTCTTAGAAATAAGATTGCAAAATTTATGACATTGCATATGGCATTTTAGTTAAAAAAAAATATTTGACATTTCCTTATTACTATTGAAGGATGTTTGGATATGCATTCATCTTCAAAATCTGTAATAGATATCCTCCAAGGCTTTCAAAATCTCACCCCTCTTCATTATTGGTACATTTTTGGGCACACATATCTTCTGCAAAAAGACATGCTTCTCTCACTTGCAACTATCTTTGCTAAATAAATAGCAATAGAGTGATAAAGTATGAGAATGGTCCAATTTAGCCATGTACCTTGTGTTGTAATTGTTGGTGGATGCATCATTACAATTCTCAGGGCAGCCCTGATTTTCCCATGTTCATACCAAAGGTATGAAATAATTTAAAAGATAAGAAAAATAATTAAATATAAATATTTGGTTTATTTGATTCTTGTTAGATAGAAGATAGTAGTAATATCAACGTGATATGTTGTTCATTTTTGCAGCCTGAAGTTTCAAAGCTAAATCTTGACAGAGGGTGTTCTATCACTCTATTTGAAGGTTCAGTAGTACTTGAAAGGCTTCACCTCTCCTTTTTTCTACCACACTGATGTTTACACTAGCAACATCAAAGTCCGAAGTTTAACCATTCAAATAAAAATGCCTTTATAACTACAGATGTGGTTTTTACGGGCATTTTAAACTCTACAGTCTACAACTCTACATTAGTGGTGAAGGATGCTCAGATGTGGTGTCATTTCCAGAAGAAGAGATAGGAAGGATGCTGCGTCCTCTCACCTTTACCTCCATACAAAATTTCGAAAATCTGAAACACATGTTCTCCAAGAGCTTTCAAAACCTCACCTCTCTTCAATATTTATTCATCTTTGATTGCTCTAAGCTCACATCTCTTCCGGAAAAAGACATGCTTCTCTTGCTTGAGAAGCTAGAGATTCACTGTTGCCTATTGCTAAAAGAAGAGTGCAGAAGGGGCAAAGAACAAGGGTGGTTCAAGATTGCCCACATACCTTCTGTTGAAATAGACTATGAAAGCATCATCCTGAAGGGATTGAAGTGAAGATTAAGTTGGAAAATCCAATCCTCGTTTCATTGCTCAAAAACACAGGTGTGAAGCCATTTAAAGGATAGAGCATTCCAAAGCTATTCATTTGATTTATTTCATTTTCCTTAGCATCAAGATATTAATAGTGATTAGTATATTTTTTGCAGACAATTTGGAAGCTAAATTGGTGGGAAAATGGGCTTATTTAAACAATATTTTCAAGGGAAATGGTGTAGCTATCTAAATCTGCTTTGGCTTATTTGATTAATGTAGCAGTCATTTAATTAATTCTCTGCAACTTTTATCTACAATGCAGAATTTTTTTTCCGTCCTTAAAATTGTTCGTAACAATTAAAAACTAGCTCTATATATTGAAAAAATCTTCCGCATTCTTAATGTGATGAATTTTGTATACTTTTTATATAATTTCAAACTTTGCCAACCATGCTTCCTTTGCCAACCGTTTAACTTATTTCTTACATTTTCATTGTTCACATCTAGTCTCTTTGTGCTTATTTAACCTTTTGATCTTACTTTTGTAAATTTCTTGGAGAGCTAGAGGAAAGGGGAATGAGATTGCATCTCTGTTAACATTACTTTCGTAAATTTGTTTGAGTAGGTCTGCACAAACTAACCTTTATTAGACATTTTTTGGCCAATCATTAGAAGTTATTTGATGGTGATAGATGTTAGGAGGCAATAGCTTGGCCACATATGAGATAGGAATAATGTTGCTTACGTGTTATACTTCCTTTTCCTCAGGGATTCACTGATTATGAATACCTTCAAGAGCTTTCAGAACTTCACTCCAAGTTTGCGCACCCCTTCTGGAAAGGATTTGCTTTCTTTCTTCTCAAACTATGTATTGATGGCTTTTCTCTTGCAAAATTAACAGCATGGAAGGGATAAAGGAAGGGCTGCTTGAAGATTGCATGTTTGCTTTATGCTTGTGTTAGTAACAGATGATTACTTGTTATCTGGGAGGACAAGTGAAATCTTCTTGACCTCATTAGAAGAAACTGTGAGAAAACCAATGAATATACCCTATTCAATCATAGTTTTAATCATAGGTATGTCTATCCTAATTTCTTTTTATTCTTTTTAATTTTCAATTCAATGATTGATTTAAATTTTGACAAGGACAAGGTGTTGTTCATTACTTGATTTATTAATCAACATGAAGAGTGCACTATTTTTTTATTAACTTTTAATAAAGAAGATTGCATATGGGATTTTAGTTGAAGATATTTGACATCTCATTATACTATTGAAGGATGTTTGGAGATGCCATCATCTCCAAAATCTGAAGTACATATCCTCCAAGAGCTTTCAAAACCTCATCTCTCTTCAGTATTCGTGCATTTATGAGCAGACATCTATTCTGGAAAAAGACATACTTCTCTCATTTGGGCAACCATCTTTGCAAAAAATATGGTGAAAAGGGGATAAAGTTTGAGAATGGTCCAAGATAGCCACACACCTTCTGTTGTGTTATTGGTGGATGCATCATCACAATTCTTAGGGCAGCCATGAATTTCTCATGGTCATACCAAAGGTATGACACGGTTTCAAAGATAGGCAAGATAATTAAATACAAGTATTTGATTTATTGATTCTCATTTGATAGAAGATTGTAGCAACTAGCAAGTATGATATGTTATTGATTATTTTTACCAGCAAATTTAGTTTCAAAGTCAAATATGTGAGAAAGTGGGCTTTCTGTTCAGACTTCAGAGGTCAAGAAATTGAAAGACTTGTCCTCATATACATTGAAATTAAAGATTATCAATGTTCAACATTTAGCCAATAAAAGAAAATTTTATGTATTTAAAATGCTAGGTAGTTTTATTGTAAATATATTTTGTTAGTAATTAATCTTGGAATTCATGGTTCATACTGTAAATGGTACAAGTGTTAACTTTTTGTGCCTACACTTGCTAAATTTGCAGTTCCTGTTTAGCATCAAAAGGACACCCAGAACATCTTAGAAGTCATTGTGTGACAAAAAAATGTAAGGTTAAATTTGCAGCCATTTTATTATGTCATCTAATAATCAGTTTTAAGATTTAAAACGTGTCTGGTAGAAATGGTTATGGTCATCTTGTGTTTATTAATCTTCTCTCATTAGTTTCCATATTGCTGACTGTCATTTACTATGTTTGCACTTGCTTTATACTTGTACTAATTTCCAGTAGGTTATATTTTTCAGATTTAGTTTTTTCTATAGGGAGGAAATAAGCATGCCTGGTCCCAATTATGGAGTCCTTGAAAGCAACAAGAAGCATGCAGCAGATGGGATGCTTTATAGGCCCATGTACTTCCCCTGCAGTTTTACTTGCTTGTGTCTGCTAAGGTATCAAAAGTATGTACCCAGTAATGCTGTCTGCTGAAGTAATTGAAAGTATGTATTCACTGATGATGGCTTGGTAGATCATTTCAGATATGCCATCGTTGGTATCAGTACTGTAGTGGATTATAGGTATGATCAAACTTATAATTGAGGGATTTTTTCTGACAGGCTGCTTGTCATCTGTCATTTATGGAGCAAATTACATCCATGCAGCTGTTAAATTAAGAGTATGAAGAGCAAATCGAGTTTGGATAGGGGAGCATTAGATTGATTGCTATTCTGATCCAAAAAAGTGAAATTCCATAACTAGCCAGGTGAGATTTTAGCTTTGATTTACTACTTTCACTTTACCAACTATTAATGTAATAGTATGCATGTTTGAAGTATGTCCTAATGTACATTATCTTGTGTGTTTACATGCATATGAGATAACAATTTTCACTTTGGTAGTTTGATGAAGGGATTGGATCTTAAGACATGGGTGGCTTTCGTTTGGAATGTATACTCAGCTTTGCAAATTTAGGTGATGTGACAAAAGACACATTCAGCCACCCAAACATGATGTTTCTATAAGTCTGAAGGTTGTCCTGGCGAAAGACAACCTATCCGTGGGTCCAAGTGTAAACTAGCTATTATCATTTTTGTGCTCTCCTCGGTAGACAAACTTCGAACACTATTCTAATTAAAAGGAATCAAAGCTTGCATTTGGTTGCTTTCCGTTTTATTAGTTCTGGAATTGAAAGCTGTAGCTGGGTGCATCTGATTGGAGCATGAGCAAGATTTATTGTTGGTTTTGAATGGCAGTTGCTATTTATTTCTTTTCGTAGGTTGACTGCAGCTGGAAAATTAGTTATCTTGATTTCCATATGTTCATCATTTCATCGCTCATGAGATTAGGTGCAATCAAAAGTAACTTGATTTATGTATTTTATTGCTCAATTCCAATGGTTATTATGAGATTCAGTTTTGTCTTCCTTGTATTAGATGAGTTGAAGTTCTGTGGTTATATTCTCATTTCAGTACAATAATGAATATGTTTTTTGGTTAGCTTCAGGTTCTTGATCCAATTGCAAGTGGCATAGAAGAATTTGAAGCAGTTTTGGTAATTGATATTCTGCAAGCATAAGCATATATTGTGGTGGCCTCTTTTGGAGACAATATGTAAATTCTGGCTTCCCAGAAAGTTAAATTTGTGACTTGTATGCTCCTTGAAGCTTCCAAACTTTCACATGAGATCATATTCTTGCCAGTAAGATGGGATTTCATCATTTTCCTTCTGATAGGTGCGGTTGACTCTTTCTTTGTTTATTTCTCTATTATTATAGTTTTTGACTGTGTGTTGCATATTTTCATTTTAGAAAGTAGTTCTCTAGCATTCCTCAACCCGAAGAAGCTTGTGAACTGCACAAACAAGCAAGCTAAAAGACCTACCGAGTATATGTACATCCCTAGCTTTGATTCTGGCAAGAAGATTGTGAACTGCACAAACAAGCAAGCTAAAAGACCTACCGAGTATATGTGCATCACTAGCTTTGATTTTGGTTCCCAATGGCTTACACGAGGTATCATTATGAAGCTCTCATGTTCATATTAACATCGCTGCCTTTAGAAAATTGCATTTAGGGAATAATTTTTGCATGACTTAACCAATGTTCTAAAATCTAATCTACCCATGTTTTTAAGTAATTCATAACTGACTACAATCAGAAACAAATATTGACATATCCGAAACACAAATCACCTTTGTTTATAATCTCTCATTTTGAAATCTCAAAAATCTCTCTGCGTTTCCTTAGTCTTCTTTGCTTTTCTTTTTTCTTTCTCTCATGCGTCCAGAAACTTCTTTGTTGGTGGCAAAGATGGCTGAGTTTTACAGCCTAAAGAGAAGTACAATGGCTGGGCTGGTAGACAAAGAGTTCCAAGTCAATTGACACCCTTAGTAAGTCTTCCGTTTTCTTATTGCTTTGATTCAATATTTTGGCCTTGTTGTTTTCATAGCCATTTTTACGTTCAATTGTCTTCTTAATTTGATTTTGGTATGTGGATTATGTTTCTGGTTTGGACAGTTTTCAAATATGAGAAAGGATCAGACTCGGTTTTGTTGGTGCATAAAGATGATTACTTTAAGTGCAACTGAAAGAACCCTGGCCTATAAAGGAAATGACAAGTGGAAGTTCTGAGTTTTAGTTTTCTCATTCTGGTCCCTTCTTTTTCATTAATGGCCAAGAGGGTCATTGCCAAAAGGGGCAAAAACTGATCACTGTTGTTATAGTTGAGAGAAAGGCTATGTCGTCAACTCATCCCCCAATGAATTTCCTTCTCAGTCGCATGTTTTAGTAATCTAGTCGAGCCTCCAGCAAAATCTCCATTTCCGCCTCCAAGTTCAACACATTTTCCCAAGCATCATGGCCCTGTTAAAGATCTTCCCAAAGCGTCATCACTAGGGACAAATTTGGCTTATACATCTCCATTCCCTGTTTATGAACCCACCTAAAGTTTTCCTACTCTGCTTGCTACGGGTCTTTGATTGTAAGAGAGTTAAAGAATGGAAGCAGAGAACGTGTAATCTCTTGTATTTTGTAAGTAAAAGGAGAAAGATAATAAAAAAAATATAAATGGCATGACAAATTGACAACGTCATTTATAGATAAACAAGTTTAAAACTAGCCCTATTAAGTAATAAAGATTTTAGAATACCTTTCCTTAGAAAAAATTTCCTGAAGCCATGCATAGGCATTGATAATGTGAATCAGAATGTTGCTACTGCGGTCATTAAAGTGGAACAAAGCTTATTAATTTTATATAAATATATAAAGGTTGAAGTTTTTAGTAAAAAAATAATTATTCAATGTGGATGATTTATATCATTGATTTTTTTTTTTTAAATCAAAGTACTTAAAACACTTTATTCTCAAAATAAAATACTTTCATTCTTATTTCTTAAAATAGGATATTATTTGCCATGTAAGCATTTAAATACCATGTCAGCTATGTATTCTTGCCGTAAGGGTTTTCTTTATCCTTCCGGATTCGACTCTCTACCGTATGCTTTTCAATTGCAGGGCCCAATTTATGGACTGATCACATGTAACGTCATCAAAATTAAGATTTATAGCTCCAAACATAAAATAATGGAAATTTTGACACTGTTAATGACTTTTTTCAAGCATCTCTTCTTCCCTTTATAGTGGCCATTAAAGTACCATTGCTTAAGATTAAAGTTTAAATGTATTCTATTTTTGGAATTAAGATTTTAAACTATCTTTGTCAAAGAAAAACTTTTATATTATTGATAAGTGGATTGTTTTGAAAAACAATTGTGTCCTTTAATAAATATAATTCATTTTATTTGAATTATTTAAATGAATTATATTTTTTATTATTATTTATTTTAAGTCACTTTTAATTAAATTTATATATAAGGTATCATGTGTCCACTAATAAAATTGTATGATTTGATTTGATTTTTTTTAATTTAAGAAACCAATTTTTTTTATAAAATTATATCTCAGCCGTAATCCAAACTTTACATTTATGGTTAAAAACTAAAACATGTCGTTGAGTTTCTTAATATATGAAAAGTAAAGTTAAAATTTTACAATTATTTTTTACACAATTTCATACTTTAAAAACGTTTTACTATAATTTCATTATCAATACTCTTTCAATATACACAATTAAATTATTATTCAACTATTTAGCTTGCATTCGATATACAAACAGTCTTCAAATTGTTTATTACCGAAAATGCTTCATTTATTGTGACAGTGATAACAATTAATAGACACAATGCTAATCTAAACAACAAATAAATTAAGTCAAAAAAATTCTCTTTGAGCTTTATCCATAATACATAATTTCATAATTTTTTTATGTAAACTGGGCTTAATCCCCCACTAAGCCCATTAAGCTTTGCCATTGTTGATTATATACATCTGGTAAACTTGATTTATTGCAATTTGCTAATTTATGAAAAATATTGATTGCCGTTAGATAATTCCCTAATCGCAGGTTACTTAAAATACATGTAATTGGTTTGCAAAGTTAGTATTATTTATTGATTTCTTTTTTCAATTTCAACAATCAAATATCTATCACAACTTACTTTAAATAAATCACTTTAAGATTCATAAAAAACGAACAGAGCATCCTTTTATATATTATATTTTTTGGTTGAAACATCTTTTTATATTTACATGAACTAATGTATGTTTTTTTTTTTTTTTCTGCTAACTTTTTTTTTGGTCGTTTGACTCTATATTGAGAAGTCAGCAATATTTTGTTAAATATTGTATTATGATAGTTTTATAAATTTGTTAATCACCAAGTTTCATGGAGGTATTATACTTAATTATTTACTTTTTCGTCTCCCTATTTTTTTTTTTGTATGTTTGATTGATTTTTTAAATGTTATTGCTATTTGATTTCTTGTATTATATGTACTCTTAATACCCTTTTGCTTGAGAGTTACAACTGTATTTTTAGTATTATTGTTTGGATTATGGGTTAAGATCTGTTAGTTTTATAATCTAAATAACATTGGTTTTATCTTGGAATGAGATATTTAGATTTAATTTGGTTGATTTTTTTTATTTTTTAATTTTGTTTCTTAATAAAAATGAAAAGCAAAAAATAAAAAATAAACTGAATACAAAAAATAAATAATTTTTATTTGGACTTTTTTTTTTTGGTCAAAATTTACATGTGGATTTAGCGAAGGAATATTGGTTGTTTGTGGTCTATTAAGGAGGCTAAAAGGGAGTTTATATATCTTGATTAAGGACACTTGTATGTTCAAAGTTCACTTACTTGCTGTACAAGTAAATTTGGTAACACAAAATAGTTAATACTAGATTAAATGTTTTAAGTTTCCCTATTTATTAAAAAAAAAGAAATATGTTTTTTTTTTCTTTTACTTTTCATTGCGAAATTCTCTATTTAAAATATTTATTTAAAAAATAAGTTCTATTATTGATGTTGATTTTTATTTTTATATTTAATTTTTTTAAATATTTTGCATTGAATTGAAACTTAATAGTTCAATAATTTCTTTAAAACTAGATTAATCAAAATTTAATTTTGATTTGCAAAAATCTTCTCTACTATTAATTTTTAAAGATCATTATATAAATATTATAAAAATTATAATTGATTTGTCCACCCGTGCATAATACGAGTTTAAAATTAATTTATACAATTTATTATGAATTTCTAAATTTATCTTATTTTTAATTATTTTATTTCTCTCATTATAGCAACAGATCAATTTATCATTTTATTTATGATTAGCAGTGACATAAGTAATTTTTTCTACATTCATCACAATAGTAAATCTTTTATATAAAAAAATTTATGAAATTGATATATCAGAGACCATTGATCCACTAAAAAATTATTATAACAAAATTTATTAAAATAAACTACTATAATAAAAAAAAATATGATTTCATAAAAATCATATAACATGTTCAACTTTTAGTGCAACCTTAAATACTTTAGCCTTATGGATTCATTCTAGAAGCAGGGGATTGAAAATTGAAAAAAGGATATTGAATCATAAGCCCCATTTTATCACCTTTTTATTTATGCTATATTAAGTAAATTAAGGATCTTAGAGCTAGCTTTGTTTAAGTATATTTTTGTTCTGACGGCATAAAATATGAAGACTTGTACTGTTTTATTCAAAAATTCTTCAAATCACATCTAGTGTAGTCTTGATTCAAACCAAAGAAAATTATTGATCCTTGTAAATGTGAAAACCATTAATTAGAATACTACCCAAGAAAAAAAAATTTGAGGATTCGTTTTAAAAACTATTGAGATTGTACGTAGATGTGAAAGTCAAAGGCTTTTTTTCTTCTTGTAGAAACAAAAATTTTCCAATGTTGCTTTTTTAAAACAATAAAGTAAGTGTCTAGGGTTCTCATGTATTCATTTGATTGCAAATAAACAATTAATAAAAATTAAATAAATATATATCAATTAGATATATACTCATTTATAAACTTTAAAAACATGTATAAGATAATAATCCTTCAAAAGTTCTTATTTTTATTTTACCTAATTAGGTTACATTTTAAGGTTTAATATTTTAATTCAATGATTAATATCTATTTAATTGTTCAAAGATCCTCTTCATCGAAAAAAAAAAAAACCCTAATAGGATCGATATCATCTAATTCTAACACATTTAGAATAACATAGTCAACTCAATTAGCTACCCTGAAATTCTTATTTGGAAAATAAAGGAGAAGAATTAGGCCATGATTTAAGAAATGAACATAGTGGTCAAATTTAGCCCAAAATAAGAAGAAATTCCAAGTCTTCAAATGCACACTGAAGCTGTAACTGGGATGATTTTAATTTGCCCATTATTTGCCCTATCCAATTGGGATGGGACCATAGAAAATATATGATTTCCCACGGCGCAATGTTCCCTTACTTCTACGAAGTTCCCTTACTTCTACGAAGTTCACTTTAAGAAAGAAAAATCCAAGCATGAGCAAAGCTACTTGTAAGCTAAGATTGTAATAGGTTGGAACACAAAATTGATCATTCTACTTATAAATTTATAATACGAATTTTTATATTTTTATTGTACTTAATTTATTTATTTTAATATTTTAGAATAATAAAAAATTAAACTCTAATTATTAAAATTAAAAGTTTAACATTGTATAGTATATCACATGTTTGTTCGTTTAATTTGAGCATCTAATAAATTATTTACAATCAATTAGCCATATTTAAATGAAAATTTTAATCATGTCTTTATGCCAATTGGGATAGAATTACCGTTTGACATATATAATATTTGATATGAAATAAATAAAAGAAATTATATTTTAATCGATTGAGGGGTGGATTTTGAATCTCCCTAGAATGAAGCTAAAGAATAGTGAATAACCCATTTCATTATCAATCTTCCATCTTCATCTTATCTCCATGATTATATTTGATGATAAAAATTATAAAACGTTCCCTCTTTCTTGAGAAAAAGAAAAAGAAGAAGAAAATTTACGGTAAATTGTTGAAATATTTAAGGGATGGTCAATACGTCCCGGCGTAACCGATGCTCTATCTCCTTTTGAAAGTAGCTTTTCTTGACGACTTATGTTTGCATGGCATAACCAAAGTTTCATGCTAAACATTCATTTGTAATCTGTTTGCTAAACATTCCATGCTATATTGTCGTGTCAATCCATCTCTCTAATTCAGTACAATCAAGCTTTTAAATATCAATTTTGATTAATTTATTAAGATTTTTAAGATATTGAAATTTATCCATAATGCTAAAAATATTTAAACAAAATCAAGATAAATGAATCTGAAATTTAGTCTGATTGATTCAAGCAATCATTTTTAAAATATAATGTTTAACATATTTAAAATTTAAAATCTTAACACTTATAATTATTTTTTTATTTCAAAATTATAATATCTTTTGTAAAATAAATAAATAGATTAGCTTTTAAAATCATAGACATTCTCAAAATATGAATATATGAACAGAGTTAACCTCATAGTTAGTCTAAGATGAAGATTCAATATTGTCAGCTAATCATTAAAAAACCATAGGGAAATAATGTAAATACTATAAACTATGGTCAAACAATCTCTTATCCGAACTTAAAAGGTAGTTTCAACCAATTTGCTACCTTATATTATTATTATTATTATGTCACTTTCATGGCTCTCCCTCAAATATTCCAAACTCGTGGAGCATGGCTGACATTGCTCCTTTGAAAATAATGTCATTGGTTAACATCTTCGGCATCCTAATTACCTAATAAAGCAAGAACAATCAAAATCAGCATTTCAAAGCCAAATTTTGACCAATATTTTTTCTAATTAATAATTTAAATTCTTTCTCTTTTTACCTTGCCAAATTCTCCCTTAAAATCTCCAACTCCATGCAAGATTTGACAATTAAAAATAGACATTTGTTGTTCACGTGAACCATTTGCTATGCTTATAAGGGTCAAATTTCCCGTTTAAAATAAATAATTGAATTTTACCTCAGAAAACTGAATATTGAGAAACCAATAAGGAAGTGGTAGTTAAGGTTGATGATGCAATTCCTGGTTTGTGTAGGTGGAATTCATTGAAGGTTGAGTTGGAGAGTATGTTACATATGTCATAAATAAAGAAAAAGGTTAGGAAGCATCGAAAGTAATATTTTAAGACATATTTCAACGTTCAAATCAATCAAATTTCTTAACAAGAGATAAAAAGTAAAAAGAAAGACGGTAAAATTAGAAAGCAAAGAAAAAGTTGAATAAAAAATATTACATGTATGGTTTAATTTTTATTTTTATATTTCATAAATGTTAACGTGATTAATTGAACGTGTGATTGTCTATTTTGATGTCATTCGTGAGCATTAATGATGTGATAATCAAAATGTTGTTAATATAAAAAACAAAGTGTAAGAAAACTTATTAATTTATAATATTTGACTAAGCAGGCGATTGAAATTTGAAAAAGGAAATTGAATCATAAGCCCACTTTATAAATTTCTGAATTTTTACTAGATTAAGTAAATTATGGGTTTTAGAGCTGGCTTTTTTGCTGACAAAACTAAATATATTTTTTGTACTGAAGGCATAATTAAAATATGAAGATTCATATTAGTTTATTTAAGAAATCTTCAAATCATATCTAATATAACCTTAATTAAAACCAGAGAAAATTATTGATCCTTTTAAATGTGAAAACTATTAAACAGAATGCTTTTGAATAAAAAATTGGGAATTCATCTTAAAAACTATTGAGATTGTAGATATGGAAGTCAAAGATATTTTTCTAGTCATCAATGAACATTGAAGCTGTGGTTAGGATGATTTTAAGTGGCCTATTCTTTTTCCTATACAAATGGTATCATAGAAAATTTATGATTTCACACGGTGCAATTTTCCCTTTCTTGTACGAAGTTAACTTGTTCTATCACTTTAAGAAAGAAAAATCCAAGCATGGGCAAGGCCATTTGGAAGCTAGATTATATTAGGCTGAAATACAAAATTAATCATTCTCCGCTCTTATATTTTTATTCTACTCAAACTTGTTTATCTTTTTAGTGTTTTGAGGTTGATAAAATTAAATTCTGATTATTGAAATTAATAATTATTTACAATAAATTGAGCCTGATCACATGATTATTTAATGAATTATTTCCAATCAATTGAGTCTTATTGAAATTAAAATTTTAATCACGTCTTTATGCCAGACAAACTTATCTTGAGACATATATAGTATTAATGTGAAATAAATATTATATTGTGACCTGTTTTAGACATGTCTTAAAATTTTTTTAAAAAAAAAGGTCAATTTTTTTAATAATTTTTGACATAAGCCCCAAAGTTATTTTTTCGTAAATGCTTAGTAAATATTTTGTAGAAATATTTATTTCATGTCATTCGTGTCATATGGTCTAGGGTCAAAAAAATCAATTAAGAATTTAAGGTTGTAATAAAAAAATATATGAATTCATATGATAGATTTAGTTAAGTATAGAGAGTAATTATATATGTTTTAGCAATTATATTATAATCCTTCTTGCATGACGATCTGATTGTATCTTGGGCAGTCTTATTGGTTAGAATAAGTTTAGAGAAATAATCAAATATAATGATAATAAAATTTTTAAATTTCATAAATGAGATTAACAAGATAACACATATCCTTCAATAAATTACACGGATATTAAATCTCCTTATAATAAAGCTGAAAAATAGTGAATAACCCATTTTATTATCAATCTTTCGTCTCTTTTATGCATCTTATCTCCATAATTATATTTGATGACAATCATTATAAAACGTTCTATCTTTCTTAAAAATAAGCAAATTTACGAGAAATTGAAAAAGTTTTAGGTTTCTTTTTATTCATTTTTTTCACTTTTTTTTTTTTGGAGTTGGCTATTGTTTGAATTTTAGTTTTATTATAATTAGAATAAGATTTGAATTGTCAGATTTTGTATTTAAATTGAATTAGATCAAGCTACTATAACTCAGCTCAATATATCAAATTTATTTGATTAGCAAGTAGTAAATCGAGCTTGAGTTTTGATTGAATTTTCGAATATTTTTAGATTAAGTTGTTTTTAATTTAGATTATTTGTAAGTTTAAGTAATTAGCATGGAGTTTTAATTAATGCATCTTTTAAAAAAAATTTTTTTAATATAATGCAGGTCGTAATATGAATAGATTTATTCAAAAATCAAACCAAGTATAAACATGATATCAAGAACCGTAAGAATTTGTTCTCCAAGACCCAACTTGACCCTATGAATAGGATTTTAAATTTTTTTTCAAATCCACCTAATTGAAAAATTGTTACCCAAGCCCTTTCTTTAATACTCAAATTATATAATAAATAAATTCAAAAAATAAAATTTCTCTTTGTGATTTTTTTGTTTCCAAAGTTTTATTTTTTTAACTTGTATTGTAATAGGTTTTTAATTAAAATTTAAACTTTCAACGTAAAATTCAAATCGTTATTCACACATATACATATATATAAATAATTATAATAATTTAATTATATATTTTAAAGGAGTTAAATTGTATTAAACTCAAACTTTAATTTTTTTATTTAAAGTTTACTTCGAAATTTAAACAAACTTAAAATTTATATTTAAATCCAGTTAGTGAATCTTAATATTTTGAACAAATTTTCTTAAAATTTGAGTGAATTTTGAATTAAGATTATAGATAAAAAAAAATTATAAATATTGAAATTTATTAAAACGTGACCAAGGGTGAACTTGAGATGTGAGGTTTGAACGCATGTCTTCGGTACCTAGCATTGGGATCTTTGAATTAACCTAACTGTTACAAGTACGATTAATGATCCCAAATTTGACTAGAAGAAATGAGTCCAAGACGCCTTATCCTTTCTAAATTCTCATATAAAAAATATATATGTAGTTTTTTTATAATTAAAATTATTAAAACGTTAAACTTTGATAATTGAAATTAAAATTTAACACTTTACTAACCTATCACGATTAATAAACCCTTTATCACCCAAATCCAAAATTGCTTCCAATGTCAACCCCTTTTCATTGCACCATATGGTGATACCAACAAGCACCTGTGGATGATAGAAAAAAAAATGTAACTAAATTAAAAGTCATATATCATCCATGCAATTTGATGAAAGAAATTACATAGAAAGATGCTTACAATTACATAGAAAGATGCTTACAAGTTGAGAGTATTAAAGTGGTAACAAAGCTAAGTTATCTTTGCTTTTGCGTTGTAACATTTACTAATATTTTAAATTATTAATACTCATAAAATATCATAAAGTCTTCAAAAGAAAGCAACCTTAGTTGATCTCAATTATTTAAAGATAAACCATGGACAGTCGTATTTCCACATTTCCAACTCTACTTTTCCAGCACCCGGCACAAGTCATCACCTTCACGTGGGAATTTAATCAAATTTTTTTCTAAAAGTTTTAATAAAATAATGACGGCAAATCCAAGCCAAAGGATGGCGTCAATAATTCTCATTAAAACATTTAAAATGACGTCATAAATCACAAAATGATAGTTTCAAAGAACTTTCCTTTAGGGGCAGAATAGAAAATTTTCCTTTTTTATTTTGCCTTTCGTTAATGCAATCATCTTCCACTTTAACAAGTAACGACTAGAGAAAAACCAGCATTAACTGCAAAACTCTATCATTACACGATTCTAAGGTTGTCTGAATCTTTTGTTGCAGCTTGCACAAGCATTTAAGGTTAGTTTCCAATCTGGGTTTAGTTTGGTTGTCATGAAAATATAGGAAAATGAAATAAAAAAACAGGAATAAAGAAAAAGAAAGAGAAAATTATGCTTTAGAATAGTTAAGATCTCGTTATCTTTGGTTGGTTTGCTTGAATATACTCAAAAAGTAGCTTACTTGACGAAATTCGGATGCTTGGTCTTCATGGCTGTTTGTTTTTTTCTTGTTTTTTTGGATTCTTTCTGACACTAGAGAAAGATTCTAGATTCAATTTTCTATATGTTCTTAGCAAAACACAGAAAAAGGAATGTTGGGTTTTTTGGGGGGCTAATGTTATAGTGGTTTAGCTTTGAATTCTGATAAAGGTTGTGCTATTTAAAAGTTTCAAGTTTGTGCAATGGAAGATTTTACAATGCTTTCCCATGTTCTTTGTTTTTCCCCCTTCAAAATACGATGTATATTCATTTTTGTAACTGTAAGTGTTGTAGATCAGATTATAATTTCTTGATGTGCTCAAAAACTGTGGAGAATTGAGAAAATTTTACCTGTTTTGGAGGTTTGAACTCGAGGGGACTTTCCATGAGATCTTTAAGTTTTCCCCTTGACCTTTCAACTCTCAAGAAAATTTGTTATGTTTCTAAAATTAGTAGGCAAAACACATTTGGAAGTTTAATTAATGATCCTGTCAATAGAATTGAACTCAGAATGATCTTTAGATTTACCTGAGCTGAATTTTTGACTAAAATTTTTTAGCATCCAGTTATGTGGGATTTTTAAAAAAATTAAATTAAGACCTTTACTACTTAATCCTTCATTCAGTTCTATCTTATTTTCTTTGATATGCTAGTGATGGATTATCTCTGGCTTATTATCTAATTCTAACAAAATCTCTGGCGTCATTGTTTCTTTTTATTGAATTATAAGCCTAAAGCCGAAATAATTTAGGAGGTCAATGATGATCGTAATTATACTCACAGAGATAGATTGACCTTTTCATTTATCTATTTTTCTATAGGAATGTTTTAATGGTTAATTAAGATATGATAAGGCAACAATATACTCTTTTTGATGGGTTTAGAAGATGATGATTCTTATTTGATGCTTTACAGTGCCCAGGCAGGGTTTCCATCTGTTTAAGGCATTCAAGCTGAACAACGGCTGGTCATGACTTGTTTCTCATTTTTATTTTCGAGAAAGAAGGCACCTTTCTCAGATGAAAACACAGTAGAAATTGATGAAGGTATGCTGCTAACTTGACTTAATGTTCTGTCCTCTGTTTGCAACTAACAATCTTAAGAAAATGGCTTATTGCGCTATAAAATGGGGCTTGGTTAGGGGATTGCTAAATTAAGTGAAGTTTATTCGACTTTGACATAACTCCTGCAAGAGCATTAGTCACCCTACACTATGATCAACTTGAGAGAAGGAAAAAAATGTAAGCTAGCCCCTATGAACGGCTAAAATTTTCTGAACTCCTTATTAGGTCAAGCTTCTTTTAAAATCATCTGGAGCTAGATATGTATTCCATCTCTCAGCTAAAAGACCTCCTCCCATCCTGGAAAATGCTTCCTTCTATATCTATTATGAGCTCGCAAAAGCCCCTAATGCATACTCATTTGCACAGAGGTTTCAGGTATTCAGAACACTACACTGTTTACTTACAGGGAGCTGAAAATGGCAACCGAAAATTTTCATTATTCCAATAAAATTGGAGAAGGAGGTTTCGGCGCTGTCTACAAGGTGATTGCAATCTTTTTTTTTCAAATCTTTTTGAAAGAATGCTTTAATAAATTGCTTAAATTTTAAACTAAGCCTGTTTTATTATTTTAACATCCAATGCTAAGTTCTTATCAATCATTTTTTTAATGAACAGGGAACTTTCAGAGATGGTACCATGGCTGCTATAAAGGTGCTGTCAGCTTACTCAAACCAAGGGGTGCGAGAGTTCTTGACAGAAATAAATGTGATTGCAGATATAGAGCATGAAAACCTGGTTAAGTTGTGTGGCTGTTGCGTGGAAGGAAACCACAGAATTTTGGTCTACGGCTATCTTGAGAATAACAGCCTTGCACAAACGCTTCTTGGTAATTACTACTACTTTGGATTTGTGTTTATTAACTGCTTGAACAATAATAGTCTAAGGTCTCTTACCTTTTAGGGGGAGGCCATAGCAGTATGCAGTTCAGCTGGCAAGCAAGACGTAACATTTGCATTGGTGTTGCAAAGGGGCTCACTTTTCTTCATGAGGAAGTTCGACCTCATATTGTTCACAGAGACATTAAAGCAAGCAATATCCTCCTTGACAAAAATCTCATGCCCAAAATTTCAGATTTTGGTCTGGCAAAGCTTTTCCCAGACAACTTGACTCACATAACTACACGTGTTGCTGGAACAGCGTGAGTTCTTAAATTGCTGTATATACCTGTCAGTTCTATTTCTCATTCTCAGTGAACAGACATTTTAATGTAGAGTGTATGTTTTTCCATGTGGGATGGTTGGTGATGCTTCTAACTACCGGGTATTCTGGCATTACACATTTTTTTATCTTGGTTACACTTTAACATGTTTAACCTGTTTCTTTAGTCACTTTTTGTTTTTTGGTTTTTGTGGGTGAGTGATAACTAAAGCAGTAAAATCTGATTGTACTGAAAACTATCAGGCATGATACAAGCTTTGAATTTTCTATTTTATTTATTTAACAGTCTACATAACTTCCTGTCAGCATTTTTAATTTGTTTGTGTATCCTTATGTGGTTTATGTAGAGGTTATCTGGCACCTGAGTATGCTATAAGAGGTCAGTTGACGAGAAAAGCAGATATTTACAGTTTTGGTGTTTTGCTATTGGAAATTGTTACTGGTAGAAGCAACACAAACAGGAAATTACCTCTGTCAGAGCAATATCTTCTCGAAAGGGTACGGATCTCCTCTATTTTCTTATCTTGTTGTAGCCTTCATTGCTAGGGTCATTTGAGTCTTTATGTATTGTCCACATCACTCATAGCTTGAATAGTCTTTCAATGCAGAGACACTTGGAGAGATAATAACCCATGTGGAATATACTTATTCAATGTATCATAGTTTCACATCAAACTGATACCTCCTCTAATTTCTCAAAGCATTTGGTGCTTTTCTCAGGGGTATCCTAATTCTAGAAACATTTCTGTGTAGATAAATGGCATGACTTGAAAGTCTTGCCTCATTATCTCCACTAATGTATACTGTACTTTGGTGTACAGTGAGCTTCATCTGTTTCAATTTGGTTCTTCAGTGTTAAGACATATGATTTTGAGACTCCTTGCTTAGTAGATTTACAACTGCAGGCATGGAACATGTATGAGCATGGACAACTAGTGGAATTAGTTGATACATCATTGAATGGAGACTATAACAATGAAGAAGCTCAGAAGTTCCTAAAGATTGCCTTACTCTGCACCCAAGACTTGCCAAAGCTCCGACCATCCATGTCTGAAGTGGTGAAGATGCTAATGGGTGAGGAATCTATGGATGACCTGAATATATCAAAACCTGGCCTGCTTTCGGAATTCATGAGTCTCAGAGGCGCAAAAGGCAAGCCTGACATGACTTCTGAAGGCACAGGCGAAGGGGGGAATTCATCTTCGCCATCAGGAAATATTACCACATCATATGCTACAATGACATTCAATTCGATATATGACCGAAGCAATTAGGTTTGTGTAATTATTGTTTTGGTATTCTCTGGCTAGTATTCTGAAATTTTTTCTCCCTTGTTTTTCAATGAAAAAGTTAGGGCTTCGGAAATTACCAGCCAAACTATATACCTTGTTCACCTTTCCTGCATTTGAGACCAGAATGCTGTAAATTTATGTAAATTTTAACCAATTAGGCCTTTATATTTTTTATTCTTTTTAAATTCACTGTCATGTTAAAAGAAGAAAGATCAGGAAAAAGTACTGCAAACTCAGAGAGTATATGAGCAATACTTTGTGATTTCAGGTGAGTGAACTTTTGTTTGCTCAGACAGCTTCTTCTTTCCTCTATAAACAGAATGCTCTGGTGTATTTTGATTATTCTGTGCACTTTGTAATGAATGGATCTCTTCACTCTTTGAGCTGTTTTTTAGTTTGATCCAATCAACATGCAATAATAAGGCAATTTTTGTTCAACAAGGTATAGCACCGAAATGATTTACAAAACCTGTTTCTTAGGTGTTGGCAGGATTCAAGTTGGAAGCCATACTATTTATCAGCTGAAAAACAAGTAAATAGGAAATCAACAATGTTATCATAACTTTGATATAGTATCTGCTTCGGGTCAAACTCATGCGGCGAACATTTGATTCATTTACAGCATGTTTCAGTTCTTTTAGCAGAAACAATAACTATGGATGAGAAAGTAATTATGTTAATTTTGAAGAACAGCAGGAACTGGGAATTCTGAGGGGAAGAGCAGCAAGAAGACCTTTGGATTCATGTATTCATCTAAAATGCCTTGAACAATTAATTTGATAGCAAGTTTACATATATTTTTTGTGAACTATCTGCTACAATCCCTTTTCTGCATGAATGTAAACAGATCATGTATCTAGATTTTTCGTTATGCATAGGTAGATCAGTGAATAAAAAATGATAAATACTCAAAAATGAAAATAATAATAGTAATGAAAAAAAGAAAAGAAAAGATTGTCTAGTTTCTTGCTCTGTAACATCTGTACCACAAAATCAATAAACAAAGCACTCTATAGCCAATTATGAAGCCCAACATCACAGCTAAATTGCTCCATTTCTGTGAATCTTTCAGGTCTTGCTGTCTTAAGAACCTACTGCCAAATAAACGACATTCTTCATTATCAAATTCTATGCATCTCTTTTGACCTTGTTTTCCTCCAAATTCATTGATCATAAAGCACTCAAATGGGTACTTAAACAAACTCAAATAATGCATGAAAATCCAGTAATTTGGTATTTTATCTTTAGCGATAAAATACCCTGAAAAGAGAAAGAAAGATCCCATTAGACCTGCAATTACTGAGTTCCCCATGATGAAGTTTGGCACAAGAGCACTGAAACATGCCACAAAAGAATAGGACATTAGAAGAACCAACCAAACCACCAAGGAGAAGTAAAGAAACCCATCAATGTTTTCCTTTCTTAAACCAACTAGCCAGTAAACTGGTGATGTGAAGAGGATGCCAACCATCAAAAGAAAAGGAAGAAAAACAATGGTGTTGGCCATGACATAAGAGGAAACTCTATAAGCTCCTCTTGAAGTCTCTCTCATTAGAATTCTTCTTTCTTGCAAGAAAATAGGCAGGCCTTCTGTTGTGGAAGATAGCAAGAAGGTGAGGGTGAAGGCAAAAAATCCTGTTTGAGTTTGTAAAGCAATCCTTCCTTTATCATTTCCAACATTGAAATATATGGTTCCAAGTACAAATCCAGCTATCAAGGCTTGTATAACTCTTGTAGCAAAGAGTTGCTTGGTTCTGAATATGTTGCTGCAAAATCTTTGGCTTAATATCAAAACCTCCTCCAACCGAGAATTCGGGTAGAAGAGAAGCTTTCTTTCAAGATGAATGGGCCTCCTCAATATTCTACAATCTTCACAGTTTATGTTACTTTCAGATACAGAATTTGAAACTGCCAAACTTTCTATTGCATCGATGGCAAATTCAAGAACATTGACACGAGTAGGGATACGATAATCAGCAAACTTTAGCTTTTCTTCAAGAAGATTCAACGATCCATTATGAACAACAAATCCATTTGAAAGCAAAACAATGCGATCAAACAGCTCGAGGATCCGAAAACCAGGTTGGTGAATGGTTAAAACAATAGTCTTACCTTGATTAACTGCCATTGATTTTAGCAGTGTCACTACATGAAGAGCTGAAGCTGAATCCAATCCTGAAGTTGGTTCATCAATCAGGATAACAGCAGGGTTATGAACCAAATCAACTCCAATTGATACTCTGCGCCTTTCTCCACCAGAAATGCCATTGTTTGATCCACCACCAATCCTGGAACCTGCCACATGCTCCAATCCAAGCTCATTCAACAGCCCTTTCACTCTAGAAGCAGCTTCCTTCCTCCCTCCTGGTAGCCTCAAAAGTGCACTATACATGAGCGTTTCTTCAACTGTAAGCAATGGAAATAAAGCATCATCTTGAGTAACATAACCTGAAACTCTCCGAAAAAATTTAACATCAACAGGCCTGTCATTGACAAGAACTTCCCCTGATGACACTTTACAGGGTGGTATCCTTCCAGCAAGAATCTCTAGCAATGTAGTTTTTCCTGCTCCACTTGGTCCAGCTATTGCTGTAATCTCTCCAGGTTTAGCTTCACAATTTACACCCTTTAAAATGAACTTGGGAGTTCTATCTGGATTAATCCAGCCGCCAAAAATCAATCTCAACTCTTCAAATTTGCTGCTTAACTTGTAAGACAAATTTTTTGTTTCTAATCTGTATGAAGCTTTCCAGCCACCGGAAACCGGTGACTTCACAGGCAATTCCATTGAGAGAAAGAATGTTAAAAGTTGAGAGGAAAACTGGGATGGATGCCTGACGTTCTGTGAAGGAAGAAACTAAAAGGAGATGAACTAACACACCAAATTGGTTATACTTGAACAAACAAAAGCAGGAAATAAATGAATAGTTAAGTTTTGCATGCATCTGAATTTAGCCTGTTCAGGGGTCTTTGGGCTTACTTGACTTGGTTTTTTGTTGTCTGTAGGAAAGAAGAGTTTTGTTGGGGTTTGGATAAACGAAATAGTTTACAAGAAACCCAAAGAAAACACACAAAAAGAAGAAAAAGAAACAAAGAAATGAAACAAAAATTAAACGATAGTCATTGGACAGTGAAAGGTTTTTCAGGTGACCTAATACATTGACTGCCAAAGGGGTTAATGTTGGTGGCCTCACCCATCTTCCCTAGTTTGACAGCTAAAATAAAATTGGTGGGAGAAAAATAAAATAATTGGTTATCCTAATTAATTTCAATTTTTTAATATGAAAATGTAACACTTTAAAATATTTGACTTAAAATCAATTGATATTAATTAAAGAGATTAATTTTAATATAAAATCACATAAAACCTAATATTTAATATATTTTAATAATATTACTTTAATAAATCTAATTATGTGTAGATGTGATTATCATGCGATAAATTTGAAAGGGATATAAGAATAAATAACACAACTACTCTTAATTTGGTCATCAAATTTAAATTTAATCAATCAATTAAATCTTATATTGAAACTAAGAAATTAAGATAACTTTTGATTCGGTATTTGTTTATCAAACCAAGCTATCTTTATAGTTTCCTTTCTTTAACCTGAAAGAAATAGATTCTTAAATGTTTTACTTTGAAAACTATATAAATTCAACATATGTTTGGGACATTTAAAGGTCTAAACTTGCAAGGTGGCATAAATATGCTTAAACTAGCTTTAATCCCATACCATAAACCAGATATAAGTTAAATTAATAATTAAAAATAATTTAATATATAATTTAATTATTTTGTAACTTTTTAATTTAATAAAAAGATTCATTACAAATATTATTAAAACTTAATATAATTCATTGTGACCCAATTCTATATTTTTATTTTTGTTAAAAAACAAAAGTTAAAACGTTATAAAACTTTAAAACAAGGTTATTAATTGATTAAATTGGACACATCTTTTTCGTTGGCACAAAAATACACTGTAATTATAATTTTTTTTCTAATAAAAAACAAAAATATTATAGAAAAACAAATAAATAAAAAAGATAATAATAATTAAATAAAGATTCAACATAAAATAAAATATCTAATTTCCCATTTTCTATATAAACCCTTCCAAAACCCTTATTTTTCATCCTTTTCCTCTCCTCGAAAACCCTTATTCTGTATTCCTTCATATTCTCTATCTCAATGGCGACACAAACTCTCTTTCGCTCTATGCTCTCCAAGCCCAAAACCCTAACTTATTTCCTTTTCCCCCCATCCTACCGTTTCCGTTTCTCTTCCTTCACCGTCGCTTCTTCCACCAAACCCCTAATCACCGCATCGCCTTCTCCTTCCCTCTCCTTTCTCCGTTGTTCCCGTGCCTTGCCCTTTTTCTCTCTCTTCGCTGACTCCCTTTCCTCTGCCACCAAATCCGGAAAATTGTTCTCCACACGAGCAGTCAGGTCCTCCCTCAATGATCCAAATCCGAATTACTCGAATCGGCCCCCGAAAGAGACTATTTTGCTGGACGGATGTGATTTTGAGCATTGGCTCGTTGTGATGGAGCCACCTCCAGAGAATGCTACTAGGGATGATATTATTGATTCTTATATCAAAACCCTGAGTCAAGTTGTGGGCAGGTATAATTTTTGTTGGCCTTTTTTTTTATTTATAATGGGTTTTCTTTGATTGTTTGATCTATTATTTCATTTTAATTTAATTGTTTGCAATTGAATAATAAAACAATTTTTTAATAAGAAAAATGATTGATTTTATTTTTATGTGGGGTTAAATTTTTAGACGATTTTAGTTTTTATTAGTTATATTTACATATTAGCAACTTTTTAGGAAATTGAGCCTTATTTATTCATTTATTTGTTTTGCTCCCCTCGTTTCTTGTCTGGTACTGAATGCTAATGAAATAGTTAGGGTGGAAATTGAATTTAATTTCATTGTTATGTTTTACCATATAATGATTGTACTGCATAAGACTAGAGGTTGCTGGATTGCTATTTAATTAAGTTGCAATGCTTAATCTTGATAGCTGGTAGTCAGGGTTTAATGCTTTATTATTGATCTTACGTGGTTTTGGTTTCTTTGAGTTCGGAAGAAGAGAAATAATATGTTGAATTCAATGTTTGACAATTTTTTGTTTTGTTGTTAATTTATAAGCTGCATTGAGAAAATCACAAAGTTTTAGATTTAGTGTAGTGGTGGTGATTCTTTTAATAAATGATGTCCTTCAATTAGAATTGAACTTCTTTATTACTGCAACGTAAAAATTATTGTTATTTTCCCTAGTTCCCAAACTTTTATAATTTTTGTTAAGGGATTATTTTTGTTCCGTATGAACTGCATATTTTTTTCTTGAAATTTTCTGAATGGGAGTGTTATATGGAGTGTCTCTTGTGACACACATACAGATATTTGTGTCATAGTAAGTTTTTTTATTTTTTGGCTGGCACATAATGGATATAACTGGATTGAAGAATCTCTGCATATTGACTACCGTCTTCAAAATGACTTTTGTCCTCTATGTTTTGGAAACATATGATGCTTATTATGCACTGCAGCATGTAAGATTATTATTAGCAGCAAAAGCTCCGTTTATCAGCACGATGATTGTAACTTATCATCTAACGATTGGGATTTTAGTATTTTTAGTAATGGTTTTCTATATATACTTGTTTTAATATCACTCCACCACAGAATGATACTTGTAATGAGAAGTGCATGCATCACTTTGTATATTATGGTTTGTTTATTTTCTGAGTTTCTTGTATACAGTGAGGAGGAAGCAAGAATGAAAATTTATTCAGTTTCTACCAGACACTACCATGCATTTGGAGCTCTTGTGTCTGAGGAAGTCTCATATAAGATCAAAGGTGCGTGTCCTCTTGAGTGAAGTTTTAATAAAAGCTTTTATGGATTTTTTCATAAATTTTTATTTTCCTACAGAACTTCCTGGGGTTAGATGGGTTCTTCCTGATTCCTACTTGGATGTGAAGAATAAGGACTATGGAGGTAAATATGCCTTTTTGTCTGTTTTCGTTTTTTATCTTTAATATTTCTTCCATTGGATTTTTTGTTTTAAGCTATTAGTGCTTTTAATATGCGATCATTTTTCAGGGGAACCTTTCATTAATGGGCAAGCAGTTCCATATGATCCAAAGTACCATGAGGAATGGGTGAGGAACAATGCTCGAGCAAATGAAAGAAATAGGCGAAATGACAGACCTCGAAATTATGATAGATCAAGAAACTATGAGAGAAGAAGGGAGAACATGCAGGTCCGAGATAATCAGAATAGGGAGATGCCTCCTTCAAATCAGGGCATGCAGCATGTTGATCCTAATAGAGCTGGAATGCCTCCCAACAACATGGGAGGGATGCCTCCCAACAACATGGGAAGGATGCCACCCAATAACATGGGAAGGATCCCACCAAACATGGGAGGAGCAATTCCACCAAACAACATGGGAGGAGGAATGCCATCAAACATGGGAGGAATGCCAGGAAAGCAGCAGAATATGGGGAATGTGCCACCAAATCAAGGGTGGTCCGGTAGAGAAATTCCTCCAAACAACATGGGAGGAGGAATGCCACCAAACATGGGAGGAATGCCAGGAAAGCAACAGAATATGGGGAATGTGCCACCAAATCAAGGGTGGTCTGGTAACATGCCTGGAAATGCACAGAACTTCCAAAATGGCCCTAACTATGGAAATACGCCTTACCAAGATGCTGCACCAAATGCGCAATACCAGTACCAGAATAACTATGCTCCAAACATGGATGGGGGAAATATGCCCGGTGGGAACTACCGGTCTTAAAAAAGTGTTTGTTTTACATAAACTCGACTATTTTAGATAATGCTGTAGATAGAGGACATGTCTAGGACTTATGATATTTGATACGTTTATCAATGTTCCTTTGTTTGCATCCTATATCTTGAAATTTGGATTTGGTTGGATGTTTAGCATGATGATTATGGCAAGATTGGTGTTAGGTAAAATTTTTACCGTTTATGAGCTGATTTCACCCAGGTTTAAGATTTTATCGCATCCTATTTCTTTTGATACTAGTTGTTCCAGCTCTTTGGTTTGTTCATTTAGAGCAGTTATATCCATTTGATCGAGCAACTCCATCCATCTTCCCTTTCTTAAACAAAAGTACATGCGGTTTTCTTTTATAGAGATCTCATTTTCAGCATTGATAATGGAAATGTGAAATTTGTTTGAGATGGAGCATTCAAAATCTTCTATCACCTTACCGAGCTAGCGAACACGTGTTTGCACCAACTCAGAAGAGGTCATGCATCTTCCAATACGATCTATGTTTTGCAATTAAAAGATTTATTTATGTATCCCTTGAATCCTAACAATTTTAAAGATTTCTTCAATATTTTTCAAAAATGGCTGGAAGATTAAGATAAAAAAAAAAGTATCTTAAAAAGTTTGGAAAAAAATCAAAATTAATAAACATACCATTTTGATAACTAAAAAGATACGATCAATGGAATTTCTTTGCCAGTTCCTGTGATAAATGATAAATGACATCACAAAGAGTAGAGCAGTATTGAAGAAAAACCTAACAGGCTTTACAGTGATGTTACATATACATACTAGTTTCACCAGATCATGGGGAAGCAACACTAAACTCTATTTCTCAAAACCTCAAAAAAATTCTTTAACCTGACATTGGCAATTGCTCTGGTTTGAGTTCGAATATGGTAATCAGGTGAGAGGCAATAGCTCAAAGTGCGAAGCATCCACTAAGCTACCCTGTGACAAGAGCAGGAAAGTAAAAGACTGAACATAACTTGAAAACTATGAATAAAGCAAGACCAGGAAGCAGGGCAAGAACAAAGCAAATCAATGATCACTTTGCTCAAAATTTGCTTCATGTATAGACATAACCAATTGGAACGGATCCAATATTTATACTCTCATCCTATAACATGAAAGTGATAATGAAACCATTGAATAAACATAGCAAAAGGAAGCAACAGGAGCTAGGAAAGGGCAAATCACCTTCTGTCTGATATACCTTGCTTTGATGTTGTTTACAGGAAAAATATCTTTGGAGCTTAGTCTTCTAGTTTCGCACTGTATGAGAGAATGGATGATGAACTTGCCAGAACCTTTGTAGAAATTGATTCTGCTCTTCTGCTTTTGGCTACTTTGATCTGCTCCGCAAGTGAAACTTCACTTTGCATATTCTCTTTCTTTATAAGCTCTATATTCAATTTCTCCAGAGTTGGGATATGCGCTGTGTCTCCTTGAATACTAACGTGACTATTTATCGATTTCTTTTCACGGATCCAAGGATAGAAGATATTACCATAGAAATGAGTTAAAGAACCACTGAAACAAGAGACTTATTATATGCTGAAACTACTAACAATAGTTCTATCAACACAAGTCCTTCACAAGCTACTTGTCTCTAATACAATAGAAAGACAATCCATAAGAATCAAGCACATATTCAGGGAATTTTATCCACTAGGTTTGGAAAGGGGGAAAAAGAGGACTTTTATGGTGCTGATTGTTCCCTGAAATGAACTTTAGATAGGAAATATCTCCAAGACATATGTCCATTCCACTCTATTCCATTCCGTCAATATATGTACGCAGGCAATCAAAATATGATGGAAGAATTTTCTTTTTAAGAGAAACTCTGGGAATAGAATATTTGAAACTGACCTAAGAATATACCAACAGCAGCCAACAATTAGAAATCTCCTTTTGCCCACTGTTATACATAGTTTTGATTTGAATTGTCTATTTTTCATTTTCTCTTAAGTTTCTCTGCTTTGTCCATTCTCTGGCACACTACAGAATTACATGTTACCTTTTTGAAACATCTTTATTATTTATGATCAGCCAAAAATGGTAGAGTTATCAACCTACCCATGCAAAAGGTCAAGTTTCATGCTATGGCATTTATGTACAAGCAATAATTGTTAGCATACAATTGCTGCAGGTTGGAGGGTCTAAATTTATGTCTTTCTGAGATTTCTTACCATCGTTAATCTCTGCTTAAGTTTCAATTCTTGGGAATCTGCCACCTTCTCATCTTTCTTTGATATTTCTTGCATCTTTCTCTTTAGTTCTCGTGCTTTTTCTTTCTCTTCCTGCTTTTTTCTCTTTTGAGCAATCCTTGATATCCTTTCTGCTTTTGCTGTTGCTGTTCTTACCTTGGCCATCTCCTTTCCCTTGGCCTTCTCTGTAGCCCACTGGAGCTGTTCAAAAGCTATTTCTTGTTTTATCTTGTCATAGCTATCCCATTCTAGCTCTACTTGGTCACTCCCACCTTTCCTAGCAGCTTCAGCTATACTTTTCATCCATGATAGAAAGAATCTCTCCCCTAACCATTACCATTTCAAACGCTTGGCCCGAACAGGTCTCACTGAGGAACCAATTCTTGCCTTGCTTTCCTCACTGCAGGATTGTCATTCTCTATTTCATGATCTTTGGAGGTGAGATTTACTGGACTAGTTATCTTTGTTTCAATGACATTCAAATTCATGCTAAAAGTTTGAGAAGCTCATTCCAAGATGCTTATTAAAAGAAAAAGATGAAGAAAATAGATATAAAGTAATGAAAGGATGCATATGCAGCCAAGGATGATTAAAATTAATTTTTACAGATCTTGTCAGTGACATTACATGACGACATCCTACGTTGATAATGCAAACATGCACATCAATCACATGCCTTTATTTTGAAATAGAAACCACATTACCCTTGTATGGCACTGATAAACAATGCAAACTGCAATAGCTATTCATTGGAAAGACCTTTAGAGACCATCTAAAAGAAAGTCATGTGTAGTTGCTTTTGATATGACTATGTCAAAGAAATGTCTGTTCATAATGTTATCCTGTAATATTACCATCCTGAATGGCAAATCTTCAATTCACTTAGCTTTTTAGTCAGATAGTTAGCTTTAATTTTTCTGACTGCTAGGTTCAGCGTGCCTGTAATATAGCCAACTATGGTTGGCTGTCAGGGTACTAATACCTGCTTGATACAATGATCCAATGCTCTAATCCTGGTGTCCCTTTTATATTATAAGTTAATCTTAACACATATAAGGACTAGTGTTTAGGCGAATTTTAATTTTAATACATTTAAGGCCTAGCAGGCCTGTATGGGATTTATAGCAAACATAATGTTAGTTTGGTCTCAACCTATTGCCTAAGCTTTTAGGTGTAAGGTTTTCTGAATACATCTCCTAAAGTAAAAGTGTGAAATCAACTGTATGTTTGATGCTTAATGACAGATCCACTGCAAACATTTTTGTTGTCAAAAAATGAAATTTTGTCTATGCAAAATTACCTATGAGTTTAGACATCTTCTTCCTAACCTGGAAATGAAGGGATGGACAAATTTTAAATGAAATATTCAGAAAAATAATAAACAAAAAGCAATAATAGAGATAAAATAGGAAAACAAGATGCCATATTTTTGCTGCCTATCGAAAAACTAGTTGCTAGTAAAAGTGATTACTGCTAGAACTCTATTAAAATTGATGCCTATCTGTAGCAAATGATAATGCAGATGTAGTGAGAACAACTCTTACTTGTTTGTCAACATATCATGAGTGCTTACCATCTATTTCAAGAATATCCATGTGAAAAATAAAAACATCCCAAAACTGCTTTGGTCTCATATGACTTCACCTTGGGATCATTCAAGGCTTCTATTACTCTGTTTGATTTGTAAACGTGTCTCTGCATGATACAAAATTTAAAAAATTAGGAATTCACTAACTGCATAAAGATTGAAACCAAAGTGATTAATTTAAATTTTAGAAAAGAGTTACCAGCACTATGTTTCCAGCCTTTGTTCCATGATTCCCTCCCTTCATTTGCCAGTCCTATCTTCCTCTACCTTTGCTCTTCCTTGTATTAGAGTATTCCTGAGAGCTATAACAGCCATATATCTGAGCCTCCTCACTCAAGTTTTGCATCTGTATTGATTTTAGACTATCTTTTGACCAACAAGTGTTGCCTGCACCCATGGAAGTTTGCAAGGCTATAGGTTGAAGGCTCAAGGAACATCTAAAGGAGTACGAGGAAAATACTTTCTTAATAAAAATTGATGGTAATGTGACTGCAATATTTTTGGATGGCAAGGCATGTAATCCACCACAGAGGAAAGAGGCCACAAAAGGGTGTCTAGAACATGACTGCAAGGTGGATGTTGAACAGACAATCTCCTGATGGGTCAAAACTCCAGAAAAATGGTTATACTTTGAACAGTCTTGATGCTGAAGCAACTTTTTGAGCATATAAAATCACTCCTTTGAATGCAAAAAAAAAAAAAAAAAAAAACCTAGGAGTATAAGTTAATGAGAGTATGCTTATGATTTTTAAGACATTGCATAACAAAGATCAATGCTTTATAGACTAGACAAGAAGAACAATCACAGCTTTTCTATGATAATAGAACTTCACTACAACCACAAGAATGTCGACATATAGTTATCTCTTTCAAACAAGTACTTGAGAACACAATGAATCATTCAAACAAATTTTCTCCATGAGTGCACTATGCAACAAGAATGCATGGGAAATTCATTGTGGTCTAGTGGCCAAAAAGATTACCGCATTGCAATACTAGTAATTCCAATTTCCAAATTCTGTTAGTCTGCACATCGAAACTCAAGTTACTGGCAAAATCCACAATGCTCCTACCATGCCAATTCCATAAATATCAATGTGACCGGACCATCGAACCACAATAAGCAAAACATTTCAAATATCAGTAAAAAAAAAAAAAAAAAACTTCCTCTTTAACCATTGTAGCAGATTTACCAGGTTCATGAAATTCATCCAGATATACAGAATTTAGCAAATAGGACTTCCAGAATTCAGAGTTTTGGTTCATCCAAGGCAAGACTGTAAGAAATTTCACTTTTGTTGGCAATTCAAGACGATAATTTCAGTGTTGCATTTCTGTTACTAGAATCATCAAAGCATTATCCTTTATCTTCCAGTTAGAAAAGGTATCCATAAGAGAAGCATATTTTGATACTGTTACTCAAAAAATCTCTATAACATTCAAGACCCCAGTTCAAAATCAACCCAGAATTGAACAGACAAAGCCTTTTCAAATGGTCAATCAAGCTACAAACAACGGGAAATGCAATATAGTTTTATCCATTTCTTTAGAAAAGTTAACTGTTCCAGACAGAGAGAGGAACTTACAAGTGAAAATATGACATCTCAGATGATCAATTGTTGACCCCGTTAACAATCAGAATCGAGATGATGAGCAATGTTATCGGATTTTTTTTTAAATGGGTTTGGCTTTTAATGAAGAAATGAGCTTTCAGAGTACTGTTTGACAGAGAGAGACAGGGAAATGCAGTTGAATAATAATCAGATGTTGAGGATTGCTTTTCTTTCTTTTGATTTGTTTCACTCTGTTTTTTAACAGTTACAACTAACAAGTTAAGAGCAAAAGAAAGTGGAACCAACGTTTTTCCACGACTTGTCATATATTTTACTATCCCTACAATAAATTTTGCAATTGTATGAAACACAAAATTTTTATTGAAAGTGTCACGTGACTGTTTTATGATTTTTTTTTTTTTTTTACTTTTTGATTTCCTTTAACTCTTAGTAGTTGATTTATATTTTTATAGTTGATGTTTAAAAAAAAATTTACAAAAGTAGCGTTTTTAAAAAATAAATGGAATCACTAATTAAATATATATATAAATTTATATTTTCTCAATTAAAAATACATTGTTTAGTTGACAAACACTAAAGAATACGCTTCTAAACTTATAAATATAGTTTTTAGCTTTTCATAATGTATTTACGGAAGGAAGAGGCTACTGTTAGTGGCCTAGATAACCACGTGGATGAAGGAAGCACATGTGAAGAACACTAAATGAATTGATTTAAAAAGGATTGATGGGAGTAGGTGAACTGCATATTATTTTATTTTAAAAAATTTTTCGTGTCATTTAAGTTATATAAAATTTATTAATATTTATATAAATTTTTGTCTCGATTTTTTGAAACTTATATTTATTTATAACTAAGTTATAATTTTTATTAAAAAATAAGTACACTTATAATTATTTATATATTATCATTATTAAAACTTAATATAAATTTTTTTTATATTTAAAATGTAATTTAAAAATAAATAAAAATACACACAACAAAGCATAGATATAATTTTAGTCCATCCATCGATTCATAAGATAAATTTTACAATGTTTTTTCATAGGACTGGCAGGTGGTGTTTTTATGATTTTTCTTTTTTTTTCCTTTTTTTGATTTTTTTTCATTGTAGAAATATACGAGAAACAAAAGAGAGAATGAAAGAGGTAGGTGAAACATTTAGGTAATAAATTTTGGGATAGTTATTAAAAAAACAAACATAGTAGATGACTGTAATTTTATATTTTTAAATTTTTTTAATTTTAAAAAGCATTATACTTTTAATATTTAAAATATAATAAATCAATTAAAATAATAATAAAATAAATAAAATAAATATTTTTATATTAACAATGTTTTTTATGTAAGATATATATTAATTTATATAATATTAAAAAAATATTTATAATACTTAAAAATGTAATATTTACTAACAAAGTCACGTTTATTAATTTAAAAACGTGATTAATAAACTATTAATAATTATATTTTTTATTTTAAAATATGATTGATAATGAATAAAAAAATTTACTTTGAACATTTATTTTAACTATATTTTTATATAAAAAAACGTAAACTTTGAACTATAGGATCATATTTCCAACATAAAAAATGTAGTTTTTAAATGCATTATAAAAACCATATTTTTTATATAAACATAATTGAAGATCTAAGAAAAATGATATTTTTACTTTCAAAATGAAAATTTTGTAACAAAAACCACGTTTCTTATGTATAAAACGTGATCTTTACACCTGCTTTTCTATAAATGGTTTCTGAAAGACCAATATCACCTCATATTTTTAGTCTAAAACCCACTTTACCTCACATTTGAACATGGGTTATCTTCACACTTTTCAATAGTTTGATTTTATTTAGTTTGTCAATTGCTTTTTCAATTCATACTTTCCAATAGTTTGATTTTATTTAGTTTGTTAGTTGCTTTTTCAAATGAATATTTTTAATCGTCGTACACTTTTACTATCTTTTTCTTATTATTATTGTATAAAACATAACATAAAATAATAAAAACATTGAATGATTTTTTTGTGAAAATCCATCCATCCATTCCACTATCCCTCCATCCTTGCGAATGCATGGAGCACAATGCTCTTCATTAAGAGTGCCACATGGGTTTTTTTATGGTTTTTTCATTTATA